TGCGCATGTCTGAATGGTCATGTGCTTATCTTCGCGTGAACAGAGGAGCATTGGGGAGGTGAAGAACTTCAGCGGAGTGAAGCGTCTCCAGGAGGACAAGCGCCTTGCGAAGTTGAAATGCCCAATGGAAGAGAAGCGCCCCAATGAGGTGAAGCGTCTCGCCAAGGTGAAGCACCAAACGGAGCAGAAGTGCCTTCAAAACAAAATCCTCAACGACGTAAAACGCGTCATGGAAAAGCGCCTCCTTGAAGAAACGCGCTTCATGGAGGAGAAGTGCCTTCGCGAGGTGAAGCGTCTCAAGGAGAAGCATCTGGAGGAAGAGAAGCGCCTCATAGATGTGAAGCGGGTCGAGGAAGAGAAGCGCCTCATGGAGGAGAAGCGGGTGGAAGAAGAGAAGCGCCTTGTCGAGGAGCAGCACCTCATTGAGGTGCAGCGAGTCGAGGAAGAGAAGCGCCTCATGGAGGAGAATCGCCTCTTTGAGGTGAAGCGTCTCATAGAGCTGAAGCGTCTTGAGAAAAAAAATAAGCGACTTGAGGAGAGGCGCTTTCACAAGGTGAAGCTCCTCGAGGAGAAACGTCTCATTCAGGAGAAGCGCCTCGTTGAGGTGAAGCGTCAAGAGGAGGAGGAGCACTTGATGGAGGAGAAGCGTCTTGTGGAGCAAAAGCGCCTCGAGGAAGAGCAGCGCCTCGCCAAGATCGAGCGACAATGGCTCCAGACCGCTACCACCAGCAGCAGCACCACTACCACTGACACCACCGCCACCGCCGCCACCACCACCACCGCCGCCACGTCCTCCAATCCTGTGTGGGGCCCAATAGCTCCGAGCTTTGGAGAAGAGGGCTTCCAAGAAGATAAAGCAAACTCCGGAGTCGCTGAGCCACGGTAAACCACTCTGCGTGTGCGCCCTGTGTGTTTATTTTTGTTATTTATTGCCATGCTTCTCACGCAGCATCAGCCTTACTCGGTCTCAACACTTTTTTCAGGAGGATTCTGCCAAGTTTGCTCGCATTTTGCAAGAAAGTTGCTACTTTTTGATTTAAAGCTTTCGTGACTGCAGGGATTCATCTTCTTGGTTCTTTCGGTAAAGTCACGTAGAAGGGAAGTAATAAAATAATAAAAATAAAACATAATAAAATTATTCTCACTGACTTTACCGAAAGAACCAAGAAGAAGAAAAAAAAAGTTGCTACTGTTTGCGATCCAAATTGAACGATTTGCATTGCTTGTGTGGGTTCAGTATCAGGGAGAAAGTTGCAGAACCTGCCCAGAACAGGTGGCATATCTTCACCATGTAACCCTCCATCCACCGTGAGATTTTCGCTGTCTATCGCCTGTTGCCAGGCCAGCTGCCAAGTCGCCTTGTAATGCACAGCGACAGCTACCACTGAGAGGGGTGTCCAATTTAAAACGCGATGAGATGAGAGATGCGAGAGGCTCATCGCATGCAATGCACTCTGAGATGCCTTCGACGTCAAGGGAGGTGGCTCTCTCGACCACAAATCACTCACGGACACTTTTTTTAAATCGTGGATGTGTTGAAGCGACCAAATTTTCGTGCACTCATTCTTCACCATTACAGTTCAGATCTTGCTTCCCGCCCTGGCTATTATTGCTGCTGCATTGACCACACAGATCCACACCCATTCCGTCACAGTGGACGTTCAGGATCTCTATCGATGCCATTTGAAATGCTTAGGACATTATGTGCAAGGGGTCAATTAGACTATACATATAGAATATGTTCAATCTAGATTTGAAGTTTTAGTGACTACAGGGATCCATATTCTTTGGTTATATCGGTAAATTCACGTAGGTATGAAATAAAATAAATTAAATTAAATCACGACGTTTCGATGGCCATGTCGTTATTGCAAGAACGTTTCTTGCTGTGGTTTTCCCACCTGATGATGATTGCTTGTGTTACAATCGAAACGTTGTGATTTAATTTATTTTATTTTATACCTACATGACTTTACCGAAAGAACCAAAAAAATGTCACTTCAAATTATTCAGCTAAATTTGCACAGCAACGCCACCCACTACTGTGAAACTACAGCAGTCTGTGTGAGACACAGCTGCACCTATCTCAAGGATAGCCTGGCGCCATGAGAATGACAGCACCAATACTAAGCACACTCACTGGCCATGTCGTTATTGCTGTTTCTATTCAGCTCGAATTAATCCGCCACACATTCCACCCACGGACGATGGGGAGATGGCGATGTCTGCCGTAGCAGCAAGGTGGAACGGTGTCGTGTTTGACAGACAACCATCAGTTTTACCATGTCTAGTGGTGGTCTCCCTGTTACAGGTTGAGTCACAAACCGCACCTCTCCATAACAAAGGCTCAGCCTTTGATATGCAGTCTATTCTTAGTCTTAAGCCTCACCTTACCATATTAATAAAAGTATGCGGCCCTTGCCCCACCACCTTCTCCAGCCATTATATAAACGAAGTGGCAGCTTCTGCAATCTCTCATTTACCTGATACAGCTGTCGTAGCTGTGACGGTTCCACCTGAAGACGGAAGCTTGTGTTGCCTCCGAAACGTCGTGATTTTTTATTTTTTACGTTATTTTATTTTACTTTTTAATGTTTTTTTACCTACGTGACTTTACCGAAAAAACCTAAGAATATGAATCATTGCAGTCACGAAAGCTTCAAATCTAGAACGGTGTCGTGTTGTCTCTTCACAGATCTGAGCCAGCTCAGCCCTCCTCCTCACTCGTCCAGGCCTTTGAAGTGAAGACAGAGGTTGTGGAGAAGGAGACGAAGGAAGAGGTGAAGGAGATGGAGGATGAAGTAGAGACGGAGGAAGAGAAGGCAAAGGAGGACGAGATTGTGATGGTGACAATGGAGGAGAACACGGAGGGAGAGGAGAAAGACAATACCGAGATCGAGGACAAGGAGACAACAAAGGATGAACAGATGGTCGTGGTGGAGGACATGAAGACGACGGACAAAGGGGAAACAATTGTGGTAGAGGAGGAAGAGAAGACGGTGGTGGAGATGGTGGTGCCGGAAGTTGAGGAGGAGATGAAGGAGGAAGAGATGGTGCTAGCGGAGGAGAAGAAGATGGAGAAGATGGAGGTGGCGCAGGAAGAGGAGGAGGAGGTAGAGGAGAAGATGGTGGTGAAGGATGAAGAAGAGGGGATAGAGGAGGATGAGACGGAGGAGAAAACGGAAGAGGTGCAGGTGGAGATGCACCAAAAGAAGAGGAAGCGAGGGGGCCTCGCTCGCGTGGCGAGAGCGATCGCCTCACTCCTCCGCCGCGTGCTGCTTTGTGGTGGCAGGTCCACCGCCCAGTAGGGGTGGTGGCGGTGGTCGTGCATCGGTGCCGACCGTGACCACTATCACCACACTACCCGCCCACCCCGTGATACTCGCTACACACACAACACGGTTCCCCAGAGAGACGGTGCAACGTTCAGGTCCAGAATACCGAAGTATACCGGGAATCACCTGTACTTAAAAACACGTAAATTGATAACACTATAAACAATAACACTAAACATTAAACGACAAAAAAAGCTACCAACTGGTTTTATAATTTATACCACCATAAACGGAGGTACGGTATTTTAATTTCATTAGAAGTATTATAATGGAACTCCACACATGGTTATTAATTGTCCGTTCAATCGAACCGACGGTCGGATATGTGAACTGTGGGGGTCGAGGGTAAGAATGGCATTCAAATTTTAGAATGACAATTTGGTCGTTTTAGCAAATTACTGTACTTGAATGTATGTTATGTGCAAATGCAAATTGTTAGTCGTAAATGCGAGGGAGGGGTTAAGAGGTGCACGTTTAATCCAGTGTTAACATTTATTTTAGCATCATATTTAAGGACACTGTTGTTGATAAGAATTCGTCTGGACATGTTATGTGCCTTGTTCTACTCGATCAACCAAAATTAGTACAATGTCGGTCATACAGGAGTGTGATTTCATTCATGAGTAGTATTCACAGAGCCCCGATGACACTAACCTACCTAAAGTTATGGTTAAAAAAGTAATCTTGAGTGACTTAATTCTGAGCTCAGACATGATCATCGCAATCATTTCCAAAGACGTGTGGGGTCCTGCGAGAGCAGGTCCCGACTACAAACAGCTGGGCAGCAGAATCGGAAGTAGCTGCGTTGCCCTCGAAATGTGATGTTGCTGCTGTTGTTGCTGCTGTAGTTGCTTCTGTTGCTGTAATAAACGCAGGGAGGTGGTGTTCCGTGATGGGATGACGCCTTTGATTAAAGCCTCTGTTCAAACTCACCCGATTGACGCCCTTGATCGTCGCATTTTATCAACTCTGATATTGTAGACTCTCACATGTTAAGCTCTATCATAGTGAAACATAATATTATAACCTATGAACTACAACCTATCCATTGTAACGCTGTAAAAGAATATTACCTATTGGGTTTCACTCCCTCGTCGAGAAGGCCGCTCTCTTCCTTTTCTAAAGTTACATGCTAATTTCTCTGCATTCACTTTAAATCGAGGACAAAGTTTTTCCATTTATTCAAAATAAGCGCACAATTACACACTGAGATGCACTTACATATTCATGCATGAAGCACAATGGGCACATTAGACATGCGGATTGTGCCTTCCAAAATTAACAATCGAATGCAAATATCCTGAAAGACAAAGGATTGGATCCTAGGGGGGGAGTTATAAGGCGGCTCAGAAGCAGAGCTCAATGCCATTTCGAGAGGGAACTTGATGAGGTTGGACGCTCGACTCGTCGCTCTGCTGATCGCCCTTCAACCGCGAGACAACGCTTCCTGGCGAGCACAATTGCTGTGTCGACAGTTAGGCGACTTTGCGTCGGGAGAGTTCGTGGCGACATCTTCAGACGGGTTTCAGACATCGATATATACCGTGAATCTCCAAGTAAGTGTCTATTTTCGCGGATAAACTCTTAAACGTTTTCGTCGTCAAATTTACGGGATTTTTTTGCGTCTCGGTTAGACGCGAGTGTCGTTCTTGTTTTAGCATCAAGTCTTAAGAGACACCAGAGAACACACACGGGTGAGAAGCCATTCCTGTGCTCTGTGTGTGGGAAAACATTTGCACACTCATCACATCTTCAGAGTCATCAGAGAACACACACAGGCGAGAAGCCATTCCTGTGCCCTGTGTGTGGGAAGACATTTGCACAGGCATCAGCTCTTCAAACTCACCAGAGAACACACACGGGCGAGAAGCCATTCCTGTGCCCTGTGTGCGGGAAGACATTTGCACAATCGACAACTCTTCAAACTCATCAGAGAACGCACACGGGCGAGAAGCCATTCCTGTGCCCTGTGTGCGGGAAGACATTTGCACAATCGACAACTCTTCAAACTCATCAGAGAACACACACGGGCGAGAAGCCATTCCTGTGCCCTGTATGTGGGAAGACATTTGCACACTCATCACATCTTCAGCGTCACCAGAGAACACACACGGGCGAGAAGCCATTCTTGTGCCCTGTGTGTGGGGAGGCATTTGCACACTCATCAAACATGAACAGGCATCAGAAGGTCCACAATGATAGGAAACTGAAATCAAAAGCTGAAATTCAAGGTGCTGCAATGAGTCCTGAAGAAGTTTCCACCTTCGATCCCATGCAGTTGGATCCCGAGAGATGGCTGGATGTAATGGAGTGGCTCGAGAGTCAACCAGAGAGCTCGGAGTGACTGAAAAAATATTATGTCATGTGGTTATACCTTTTAATCCGTATCGAGTACTTTTGTGTTTAATTTTGACCATTTTAGTTTTACAGTTTTTGAGAGTTTAATGACGTGCACAGTGGTGGTTTGTAATGTTATCGGATTACTTGCCGAAGTGGTGTGATGATCACTGGTTGTGAGAGGGTTCAATTGTAGTCGTTAAGTGTTCCTGTTGAGCTAAAGTTGGAATGCGTCTGTAGTTAGATCTTTACTCAACATTTTAAAAGGTTTTTTTTTCAAGTATAAAGTTTTTTTTGGTTGGTAATAATCGACTTTAGATAGTCGATTTCAGGATGTACATTGATGACGCGTTCGTTGGATATATGGCCTTGACTTCAACATGGACTCACAGTGAACAAATGTGGTGAACTAATAAGGAAATCATGGGGAATGATACTTTAACGTTTTGGTATTCCTGGAACGGAAATGGTTTGCATTATTCTGGAAATGTGTAAACATAGGACATAATAAATATTCCCTTCGAGTTTTGACGTAAAAATGATTGCAGATGAATAAAAACGATTTTTTAACAAATGTTTGTCCGGTTTTTATTTTATAATGTTCCTAGCAAAAACATGTTAAGATAATTTCAGAAGGAGGATCTCCGTCACATAAGTATGTCGGGGATAAACTGTACTCTATAACATGTCAACTGTAATACTATGAACGATAACACTAAACATTAAACGATTATAAACTAGTGTTTCAATTTATAACCATATAAACGGAGCTAAGGTATTATAATATCATTAGAAGCATTAGAATCACAGTGTGGTCGTATAAGAATCGCTAATATGTATGTATAGTGTACGTGCAAGGATCGGATAAAAATTATTACAATTACAACATGGTCATATACAATCACGATTTTCACTGCTAGATGTCATCGATTAACAAGACGGAATATATTTATATAAATACACGCACAAACCCATTATAAACGCTTGCGATTATGAATCGTTACAATTATATAACAATCACAAATTTTAACAAAGCGAAATTCCAACAAGCAAAACACCACGCTCACGTGACGAATTCTTAAACAAACTGCAACACACAAGTGACAGAACTCAACAAAAAAACGCCGCAATAAAAAGAACCACATCAATGGACAATTTCTAAAAACAGACAACACACGCACGTTAGTAGCTGTTAGAAGACAACACCTAGCACCTTCAACTATACACATCATACAGCCAACTCGTAAATGGGGCGGTATATGACAGCCTTCGCTGCTGTCGACGGGGCCAAGCAGCGGATGTTTGACTCGTCACAGCGCCTTACCCAAACTACATCTCCCCAACAAGGCAGCCTTCCCTATGCTGTGTATTTTAGCAGTATATTTACGGACGCACTTGAAGATAACAATTCGTCTAGAAAAGGCAGGCGACTTGTTCTACCAACATGATTTCAATTTCTACCGAAATAAGTATGAGTTCATTCATGAGTAGTATTCACTAAGCCCCGATGGCACTAACCTGCACACAGTTATGATTAAACAAAGTAAACATTAGTCGCTCATCCCAGCTCAGACATGATCATAGCAAATATTTCCAAATCCGTGTCGGGTTCCACGAGAACAGTGCACGTCCACAAACTTTCAAATTGTAAACTCACGTTGTATACTCTAACATTATAAACTCGAACAATATAACCTTTAAACTATGAGCTATACATTGTAACGTTCTAAAATAACACTACAAACTAGTGTTATAGTAAACTATGATCTTGTGAACTACGTGTCGGATACGGGTGCGCATGGGTCACGTGGTTATTCGACGTAGAGGCGAGTGCCCCACCGGGCTGTAGACGGGCACACGCTCGCAGCGTGCGAGAGCTGCACGTAGCGGTGTAAAGAGGGGGAGTGTGGCGTGTGATTGATGATGCTGTGCGCACGTATGCTCGCGGCGTGGGAGCGCGGCGCGAGGCTGTAACAGTAGGGGCGTCGCGTTCGAATGCCGGCGAAACTGTAGCGGGTAATAGGGAGGTGGGGTAACGTAAACGGAATAGGGGATGAAGGCGGGTGGGACCCCGGGGGCCAACGGTCTCCACAAATGTTCCATCGCAATGGCACCGAATAGCAATATACAGTATTGATATTGGGCGTGGAGCCTTCAATGTTGTGAACAATATAAGCTATGTGCGATACATTATAACGCTATAAGATTACATCATAAACTAGTGTTACAGATTAGAACACCGTACATTGAAGTGTGATATTCGAATCTCATTCGAATTATTAGCTTCACACCGTGGTCCTCTAGAAATCACACTATGCTCGTGAGTATGTAACATGTCTGTATGTAATATGCATGAATGTAATATATTTGTATGTTACATGTATGCATGTAAAATGTATGTAATATGCATGAATGTAATATGTCTGTATGTAGTATGTATGCATGTAACATGTATGTAATATGGACGTGCCAAACAAGGGTGGCATATGTGAAATGGAAGTTTACTATAACACTAGTTTGTAGTGTTATTTTAAAGCGTTACAATGTAAACCTCATAGTTTAAAGGTTATATTGATAGAGTTTATAATGTTAGAGTATGCAATGTGAGTTTACAATTTGAGAGTTTGTTGACGTGCCCTGTTCTCGTGGGACCCGACACGGATTTGGAAATAATTGCTATGATCATGTCTGAGCTGGGATGAGCGACTAATGTTTACTTTGTTTAATCATAACTGTGTGTAGGTTAGTGCCATCGGTGCTTAGTGAATACTACTCATGAATGAACTCATACTTCTTTCGGATAGAAATTTGAAATCATGTTGGTAGAACAAGTCGTCTGCCTTTTCTAGACGAAATTGTTATCTTCAAGTGCGTCCGTAAATATACTGCTAAAATACACAGCATAGGGAAGGCTGCCTTGTTGGGGAGATGTAGTTTGGCTAAGGCGCTGTGGCCGTGTGATGACACGGATTCTGAAACAATGGAGTTAAACACTCGCTGCTTGTCCCCATCGACAGCAGCGAAGGCTGTCATATACCGCTCCATTTACGAGTTGGCTGTATGATGTGTATAGTTGAAGGTGCTAGGTGTTGTCTTCTTCTAACAGCTACTAACGTGCGTGTGTTGTCTGTTTTTAGGATTTGTCCATTGATGTTGTTCTTTTTATTGGCGTTTTTTTTGTTGAGTTCTGTCACTTGAGTGTTGCCGTTTGTTTAAGAATTCGCCACGTGATCGTGGTGTTTTGCTTGTGGGAATTTCTGTCACAATTTGTGATTGTTATAATAATTGTAACTCTTCATAATCTCATAAGTTTATTATGGGTTTGTGCGTGTATTTATGTAAATATATTCCGTCTTTTGTTATTCCATGACATCTAGCAGTGAAAATCGTGATTGAAATATGACTGTTGTAATTGTAATAATTTATATCCGATCCTTACACGTACACTATACATACATATGAGCAGAGTGCGATTCTAATTCTTCTAATGATATTATAATACCTTACCTCCGTGTATATGGTTATAAATTAAAACACTAGTTTATAATCGTTTAATGTTTAGTGTTATCGGGATTAGGGACTGATCCATTGATGAATGATTAACTACGGGGACCTTTCCCCTCAAGGAACACGTGTTAATCGGGTAGACAGCCAAGATGATGCCGGTTAAGGGCACACTTGTGTGACGGAGATCCTCCACCTGAAATTCTCTTAACATGTTTTTGCTAGGAACATTAAAAAATTAAGACTGGACAAACATTTGTTAAAAATACGTTTTTATTCATCTGCAATCATTTTTACGTCAAAACTCGAAGGGAATATTTATTATGTACTATGTTCACACATTTCCAGTACAATGCAAACCATTTCCGTTTCAGGAATACCAAAACGTTAAAGTATCATTCCCCATGATTTCCTTATTAGTTCACCACATTTGTTCACTGTGAGTCCATGTTGAAGTCAAGGACATATATCCAACGAACGCGTCATCAATGTACATCCTGAAATCGACTATCTAAAGTCGATTATTACCAACCAAAAAAAACTTTATACTTGAAAAAAAAACCTTTTAAAATGTTGAGTAAAGATCTAACTACAGACGCCTTCCAACTTTAGCTCAACAGGAACACTTAACGACTACAATTGAACCCTTTCACAACCAGTGATCATCACACCACTTCGGCAAGTAATCCGATAACATTACAAACCACCACTGTGCACGTCATTAAACTCTCAAAAACTGTAAAACTAAAATGGTCAAAATTAAACACAAAAGTACTCGATACGGATTAAAAGGTATAACCACATGACATAATATTTTTTCAGTCACTCCGAGCTCTCTGGTTGACTCTCGAGCCACTCCATTACATCCAGCCATCTCTCGGGATCCAACTGCATGGGATCGAAGGTGGAAACTTCTTCAAGACTCATTGCAGCACCTTGAATTTCAGCTTTTGATTTCAGTTTCCTATCATTGTGGACGTGCTGATGCCTGTTCATGGTTGATGACCGTGCAAATGCCTCCCCACACACAGGGCACAGGAATGGCTTCTCGCCCGTGTGTGTTCTCTGATGACTCTGAAGATGTGATGACTGTGCAAATGTCTTCCCACACACAGAACACACGAACGGCTTCTCACCCGTGTGTGTTCTCTGATGACTCTGAAGATGTGATGACTTTGCAAATGTCTTCCCACACACAGGGCACAGGAATGGCTTGTCGCCCGTGTGTGTTTTCTGATGACTCTGAAGATGTGATGACCTTGCAAATTTCTTACCACACACAGGGCACAGGAATGGCTTCTCGCCCGTGTGTGTTCTCTGATGACTCTGAAGATGTGATGAGTTTGCAAATTTCTTCCCACACACAGGGCACAGGAATGGCTTCTCGCCCGTGTGTGTTCTCTGATGACTCTGAAGATGTGATGACTGTGCAAATGTCTTCCCACACACAGGGCACAGGAATGGCTTCTCGCCCGTGTGTGTTCTCTGATGACTCTGAAGATTTGATGAGTTTGCAAATTTCTTCCCACACACAGGGCACAGGAATGGCTTCTGGCCCGTGTGTGTTCTCTGATGACTCTGAAGATGTGATGAGTTTGCAAATTTCTTCCCACACACAGGGCACAGGAATGGCTTTTCACCCGTGTGTGTTCTTTGATGAATATGAAGATGTGATGACTGAGCAAATGTCTTCCCACACACAGAGCACAGGAACGGCTTCTCGCCAGTGTGTGTCCTCTTGTGTATTTTAAGACGTGATGGCCGTGAAAATGCCTTCCTACACACAGAGCAATTAAATGACTCCTTGCGCCCGTGTGCATGAGGCTGTGGAGAGCGTACCTTGTCCATGTGAGTGTAGTAACAGAAGTGGTGTTATCGAGTCAAAAGTACGCTATCGGCCGCAACGATGTTTAGCGTTGAGTTTTGGATTTTGTTAACTACTAAAACAAGAACGACACTCGTGTTTAACCGATGAACATCAAAATCACGTCAATTTGACGACGAATAGGTTTAAGAGTTCATCCGCGAAAATAGACAATTACTTGGAGATTCACGATATATATCGGTGTCTGAAACCCGTCTGAAGATGTCGCCACGAACTCTCCCGACGCAAAGTCGCCTAACTGTCGACAGCAATTGTGCTCGCCAGGCTGCGTTGTCTCGCGGTTGAAGGGCGATCAGCAGAGCGACGAGTCGAGCGTCCAACCTCATCAAGTTCCCTCTCGAAATGGCATTGAGCTCTGCTTCTGAGCCGCCTTATAACTCCCCCCCTAGGATCCAATCCTTTGTCTTTCAGGATATTTGCATTCGATTGTTAATTTTGGAAGGTACAATCCGCATGTCTATTAACATACCGAAAGGGTAATGTGCCCATTGTGCTTCATGCATGAATATGTAAGTGCATCTCAGTGTGTAATTATGCGCTTATTTTGAATAAATGGAAAAACACGCTCCCCATGCCCTCCATTGTCTTCGATTTAAAGTGAATGCAGCCCCGTGGCGTTGCCAAAAATCGCCGAGCTTCGGGAGTGAGCACATACAGACGCGTAGTGAGCACACTTGCAATACAATCACTCTAACATCAGTTACCAAAATCCGATTTGGTACATGGTCTCCGCTTGGTCTGGTTGGTATCCGTCATCACTCCGGAGACAAACAGCGAGGCATGGTTTGGCCAGCCACCAACTCGTTTGCTGCAGCGACTTTAATAGCTGCTCTAAAACAACACTGTCACCAATGGTGGTTTATGGGCTAGGCTGTTAAGCGGACAATCAGTCTTTTTGGGCAAGGCGTATGGGAAAATACACACCTCTGTTATCCCATGAACATAATACACAGCATCGGTAAGGCTGCCTTGTTGGGGAGATGTAGTTTGGATAAGGTGCTGTCACTGGAGTTCGGCGATGTGACTGGGTTATCACACGGATTCGTAAAAGCAGCTTAGACGATACGATCCACTGCGCTCCATCTCCCCTCATGGACAACGACATTCTCAGTTTAAAAAAAATGAATAGAAATTTTAAAATACGTTTTTTAAATTATGTGTATTGTATAAATGTTATAATGTGTGATTGTTATACTCTTTAAATGTGTGTATATATACTGTAAATAGCTATTAAATTCCATCACCACACAGAAGCAACTGCAGCAGCAACTGCAGCAGCAGCAACTGCAGCAGCAGCATATGCAGCAACAGCAGTAACTGCAGCAGCAACTGCAGCAGCAGCAACTGCAGCAGCAACTGCAGCAGCAGCAGCAACTGCAGCAGCAGCAGCAACTGCAGCAGCAACTGCAGCAGCAGCAGCAACTGCAGCAGCAGCAACTGCAGCAGCAACTGCAGCAGCAACGGCAGCAGCAGCAACGGCAGCAGCAGCAGCAACAGCAGCAGCAACTGCAGCAGCAGCAGCAACTGCAGCAACACAAGTCTGACCTTAACCGGCAACGTCTTGGCTGTCTCCACCATCAACATGTGTTCCTGGAGGGGAAAGGTCCCCGTTATAAATAGTTTAGCAACGTTCCTTTCCCTAATTCCGAAGTATACTGGAGATCACTTGTACTCTAAAACATGTAAACTGTAACGCTTTAAAGATATCATTAAACATTAAACGAATATAAACTAGTTTTTTTATATTATTTATAAGACCGTAAACGGAGGGACAGTATTAGAATATCTATACTCTTTGGTTCTTTCGGTAAAGTCACGTAGGTATAAATAAAACTAAATAAATGACGACGTTTCGGACGCAACACAAGCGCCCGAAACGATGTCTGCAGCAGACATCGTGCTGCTCGCAGCAGACATCGCGGATATCGCGATTCTCACCTGAAGACGGGCGCTTGTGTTTAAGCTGCTTTTACGAATCCGTGTGATAACCCAGTCACATCGCCGAACTCCAGTGACAGCACCTTACCCAAACTACATCTCCCCAACAAGGCAGCCTTACCGATGCTGTGTATTGTGTTTATGGGATAACAGAGGTGTGTATTTTCCCATGCGCCTTGCCCAAAACGACTGATTGTCCACTTAACAGCATCGCCTGTAAACCACCATTGGTGCCAGTGTTGTTTGAGAGCAGCTATTAAAGTCGCTTTGGCAAACGAGTTGGTGGCTGGCCAAACCATGCCTCGCTGTTTGTCTCCAGAGTTATGACGGATACAAACCAGACCAAGCGGAGACCATGTACCAGATCGGATTTTGGTTACTGATGTTAGAGTGATTGTATTGCAAGTGTGGTCACTACGCGGCTGTACGTGCTCACACGCGAAGCTTGGCGATTTTTACCAACGCCACGGGGCTGCATTCACTTTAAATCGAGGACAATGGAGGGCATGGGGAACGTGTTTTTCCGGCGCTAATACCATTTATTCAAAATAAGCGCACAATTACACACTGAGATGCACTTACATATTCATGCATGAAGCACAATGGGCACATTACCCTTCGGTATGTTAATAGACATGCAGATTACACCTTCCAAAATTAACAATCGAATGCAAATATCCTGAAAGACAAATGATTGGATCCTAGGGGGGGAGTTATAAGGCGGCTCAGAAGCAAAGCTCAATGCCATTTCGAGAGGGAACTTGATGAGGTTGGACGCTCGACTCGTCGCTCTGCTGATCGCCCTTCAACCGCGAGACAACGCAGCCTGGCGAGCACAATTGCTGTGTCGACAGTTAGGCGACTTTGCGTCGGGAGAGTTCGTGGCGACATCTTCAGACGGGTTCCAGACATCGATATACCGTGAATCTCCAAGTAAGTGTCTTTTCTCGGAACGTGTTCGTCGTCAAATTCGCGGGATTTTTTTGCGTCTCGGTTAGACGCGAGTGTCGTTCTTGTTTTAGCAGTTAACACAATCCCAAACTCAACGCTAAACATCCTTGCGACCGATAGCGTACTTCTGACTTGATAACACAGCTGCTGTTACTACGCTCACATGGAGCAGAGACGCTCTCCACAGCCCCACGCACACGGAGGCAAGAAGCCATTCAATTGCTCTGTGTGTGGGAAGTCCTTTTCACGGCCATCACATCTTCAGAGTCACCAGAGAACACACACGGGCGAGAAGCCATTCCTGTGCCCTGTGTGTGGGAAGACATTTGCAAGGTCATCACATCTTCAGATTCATCAGAGAACACACACGGGCGAGAAGCCATTCCTGTGCCCTGTGTGTGGGAAGAAATTTGCAAACTCATCACATCTTCATAGTCATCAGAGAACACACACGGGCGAGAAGCCATTCCTGTGCCCTGTGTGTGGGAAGAAATTTGCAAGGTCATCACATCTTCAGATTCATCAGAGAACACACACGGGCGAGAAGCCATTCCTGTGCTCTGTGTGTGGGAAGGCATTTTCACAGTAGTCAACTCTTAACAGGCATCAGAATGTCCACAATGATAGGAAACTGAAATCAAAAGCTGAAATTCAAGGTGCTCCAATAAGTCCTGAAGATAATTCCACCTTCGATCCCATGCAGTTGGATCCCGAGAGATGGCTGGATGTAATGGAGTGGCTCGAGAGTCAACCAGAGAGCTCGGGGTGACTGAAAAAATATTACGTCATGTGGTTATACCTATTAAGCCGTATCGAGTACTTCTGTGTATAATTTTGACCATTTTAGTTCTACAGTTTTTGTGAGAGTTTAATGACGTGCCCAGTGGTGGTTTGTAATGTTATCGGATTACTTGCCGAAGTGGTGTGATGAGCACTGGCTGTGAGAGGGTTCAATTGTAGTATTTAAGTGTTCCTGTTGAGCTAAAGTTGGAATGCGTCTGTAGGTACATCTTTACTCAACATTTTAAACGTTTTTTTTCAAGTATAAAGCTTTTTTTATTGGTATTAATCAACTTTAGATAGCCGATTTCAGGATGTACATTGATGACGCGTTCGTTGTGTTGTATATGTAAAGTAGTAACTCGGCAGGAGACGACTTCACGGGTAGCACACTCTTTATTTTCACCAACTTGTAGTTACACGGATGACTAACACCCTACTTCGTTGCACGGGTGACCAACACCCACTTAGCTACACGGGTGACGGACACCCACTCAGCTACAACTTCGTTACACGGGTGACCAACACCCACTTAGCTACACGGGTGACCAACACCCACTCAGCTACACGGGTGACCAACACCCACTCAGCTACACGGGTGACTAACACCCACTCAGCTACACGGGTGACTAACACCCACTCAGCTACACGGGTGACTAACACCCACTCAGCTACACGGGTGACCAACACCCACTCCGCTGTACTGACACGGGCTCTTACGCCCCGTTGCCGTCCGGGACACACCCAGCCGGGGTGCCCGTCTCGGCTCTGGGTACCACCGTCCCGACCCACACGGGCGTCGGACTACGGTCCCCCCAGTCTCGGCTCCGAGCCACACAGGGCCCCTATCTCCTCCACCCCGTCTTCGGTCTTCAACTGGTTAACACTGACCACGAGTGCTCTCGCGCGTCCCCCTTTATACCCCTCCTGCGGACGTCGCTGAGAGTACCCACTTATCTGACCAATCACTGCGCACTCGCTACGATCCTCTCTTCCCAGCTTGTGTGAGCGCGCCTCACCACCGGCGCGCGCGTCCATGCCACGCCCACACTGCGTGCCCAACCCCGCGCCCCGTGATCCATCACTGCCGGCGCACGTCAATACCACCACTACATATATGTGGTTATGAAAATTTGTTATGTTGTATATGTGGGTGGGTGAAATTATTATGTTGTATATGTGGGTTATGAATATTCAGTGGAAATAATAATAATTAAATGAAATTTGGCCAAATGTGTAATTACCCGGAAATATGTTAATTTATGTAATTACGCACATTTTAATTATGCCAATTCGAGAGGTAATCGTATTAATTATGCGAGTGGGTGTAATTATGATAATGCAAGTCGTTATGATAACCAGACCCCGGTTCACCCCGTTATCGCTTTAACATTTACTGAGTATGTATTAGTGTGTTTATTAAGGTCACCAAGTTCAAATCTCAACGCAGAAGCAGATCTTATGCATAGATTTCAGGAAAGAATCACACAACCACTTCTGTATTGATCAATTTATTACTAATTCAACCTTAACTATGATATAATATGCGAACTCTCAATCCCGGAACGTCAACACGGCATCAATACAGTATCATCAACGATTGTCTGATTTCACTTTGACAACTGCACATGGATCCCGCATAACGCGATGGTTGCTAGTGAGAGAGAGAGTCGTTAAAACATGCAAATATTATGCTAAGAAAACCTTAACGTTAATGAATGATTATACTCAATATTGTTCACACAGTACCGCACTCCTTATTGATCATACGCAACCCTTATCACGTTGTTAACACCTTGGGTCACGGAACAGTTGAATATTCTGTAGAGGATGCGAGTACGTGCGGCGATTATGACTGAAAGATACTTGAAAGATTATACGGCGACAAAAAAAAAACACAATCAAAACAGTTATTATTCTTAAAGGCACCAATCTCAACAGATACATCGGCAGGTTATCTCAGAACGGCTCGGAGTAAGGGCCTGCGACGGTGCTCCTTTTCCGAAGATCGTTATCTTATACCAAGTTTACTAATTGGGGACCAGATCACCTGATAAGGATCCGGTGGGCCACCACTCCCCACGTGAGCGTGGCTCGGCGGAAGGAGGTGCCAAGAATCAGTTCGTATTGATGGATCTGTTGGGAATTTATGCGATTAAGAGTACAGCCCACTAAATATTAAAGATAAAAATTAAGAATACTCTTATAAACGACGGAGGGCCATCCCTCGGTCTCGTTGTGATGCTTTCCAGCCACGGATGGCTTATGGGTTCGAGTGTTTTTGAGTGGTAAGAGTTGTCTTGAATAGTCAGGGTTCGGAGTCGATTCTTTAGGTCAAACAGACGCCTGGTGGTCGTGTGGTGAGGGGGCGGTGCGCGTCATACGTATCAGTCGATCCCCTGTCACCGTGGTGGTTCGGATGGCTGTTGATACGCTGTCGCAGTTCGGAACCCGGTCGGTAGGTGGCGCCCACAACTCGCTCGTAGCGTGCAGCGCTGGATCGTCGCCAAACCGCAACGATCACCACTCCGGCGGCAGCAGAGACCTCCGGCGGCAGCAGAGATTGACGAGCTGAAGATGAGTCGAGCCGACCCGCTGGTCGCAGCTCGCTCCTGAGTCGACCCTCCCGGTCGAGCTCGCTCCTGGGTCGACCCGCTGGTCGCCCTCGCTCCTGAGTCGACTCTCTGGTCGCACTCCTGAGTAGACCCGCTGGTCGCACTCCTGAGTGGACCCACTGGTCGCACTCCTCCTGAGCCGACTCTCCCGGTCGCGCTCCTGAGTGGACCCTCTCGTCGCACTCCTCCTGAGCCGACTCTCCCGGTCGCGCTCCTGAGTGAACCCGCTGGTCGCACTCCTCCTGAGCCGACTCTCCCGGTCGCGCTCCTGAGTGAACCCGCTGGTCGCACTGCTTTCCAATGCTCAGGATCCGTTCCTTTATGCTGAAAAATCCCCCTGGATCCCGCCCACAAGGCGGGGCTTCCGATTTTTGCTGTGTCAGGATCTGTCCGTAGGCAGGTGTGTCCATGTGTGTGTCCGTATGTCCTTGTGTGCATCACTGACGGTATATTCCGTTGTCACACTCCCTCCATAAAACCCACGAGCAAACAACCAGATGTTACAAATTGTCTCGAAGTCGTCTCTCTGTCTGGGTGCAATTTATCTCTTGTCTGGCCTTCTTCATGAACCCAAAACACAGACGTTACAAATCGTCTCATAGGCGTCTTTGTTCGTGTTGCACAACCTGGAGGGAGGGGCAACACTCTCTCCGACCCGGCGCACAAAGAAATGGTTAAAAGTTTTAAGTTAACATTTGTCCCTTACTATTTCACAGTTATGATTCTGTATGTAACCTAAGGTCTGTCGTTTCATCGTGATGCTTGACTCCAGTGGAGGTGTTTCCCCGAGCGTATACACACTCCTATCCCGCGCTGCGGGGATACAAAGACGGCCGGGATCTCCCTTTCTCTCCGACCCTGGGTTTAACATTGTTTTTTTTTTTTTATTATGTATTTATATTCGACCTGGTGGTGATTCATCCCGTTATCCTGGCTTTTCCATAAGTTTTACTTTTGTCTTTTCATGCATATACTTATTACTATAAATTTATTTCCGATATCTTAGGTTAAGGGGTAAGTTTCTTGATCCTAGGAATTCGTATTCCTTGGTGCCTGCATGGTTATATAAGCGGAATATAGTTTACGGTGAATAGCGTTAACATTGATGTTATGTGCGATATTATGTATTGTGATGTCTTTAACTTAACTTGTTTGTCAGAGCTTTACTGACACAAAGCTGTATTTCATAGCCCGCAGTCTTTGCCCCACCCTATCTCTGCTCGCCGTTGTTGTTGCCTGCCGTTAATTCAAGGCCTCATTAATTTCCGTCACTCCTGAGTAGGTGAGGGCGGTTGAACCTTGGAGTCAGTTCTGGTTTTTGTCTGCCTGCTTCTTCTTGTGTCCCCTGACCCCGGGAGTTATTATTCTACTTTATGGCCTGTCGAAGCCCCACTCGCTGTTGCTGGGCTGGTGTTGTTCCCGGCTTTTTGCTTACGTTTGCAGTTCGCCGTGCTCTTAATTTCCTTCCCTCGTCAACCTTATATCGACTATTCGCTCCTGTCTGGGTGCGATTCAATTTTGACTTAGGAAGGTTCTGATTGTCATATGCTTCGGGTCGAGTTGTATAGAAAGTATTAAGGTATGGAAATAACATTTCATATTGACTTAATAATGGTGATGGTTCAGTAGGCGTAACTTGTGGCCTGGTTTAATTGGAGTGGGTGTGAATATCAATAACTTTAGCCTACCCTGTTGTTAAATTCCGACTTTAACGTTACTTTAATAGCAATACAGAATAATTGAGCTTTTTGTCTTAACTAGGCGAATGCGAACTTCTGGTGACCCCCGCAGCCTTGTTACTCAGCTGGATCTTGCCCGCCTTGAGAGATATACAACCCTCTTTTAAATCACCTCTCCCCCTGTCCAAATTTCTGCTCTGGGAGTGTTATTCTTGATTCCAGGTCCAAGGCCCCCTCACATCCAGACGCGCAGGGTTGTTTACATCAGCTCCCCCCCTGTGCACGTGTTCTAACTAGCTCGGAATTCCTGAACACACAATCAGTGATGATTCCTGGCTTTCTGTGGTTGTGATTTAGACAAAGGCGCCTCTGTTTTCTTCCATTGCCTTTGAGTCGACACTGCCCTATTATTTGCCCATGTGCTGAGGTCATAGAATTCGTTTTGACTTCAGTAATATTAACATTCAGTATTGGATTAGCAAATGGGCAATGGTTCATTGATGTAGCTCGC